AAAAAGGTCAATGACCTGAACCAGACTGTCTGTTACCATGGTAACTAGTGTTTGGTTACATCATGTTGCAATTTTATGGCAGGAGGGATTTAGACTCCTGTCTGACCATTTATGTATGTATGAATGTGTTTGAGTAAGAGTTAACAGAGCAGACTGAAGGTAAACATTTTGCATTTGCTTTGCAAATGTTACCTTTCTAGTTTATTGTTTAAACTAGAAAGGCCAACATTTGCTTCGGAGCAAATGTAATATTTCACTCCATCTCCCTCCCCATACAAAAATAGAAGATTCTGAATAAATCATACTGCAATCATACAAGGACAAGCTTTTTGAATCTCGACAGATATTTACAAAAATGGCACTTGGCCATTATCTCCCTTTTTTTTACAAAGATACAACGACAAGCACTTTAAATCTCGACAGCTTTACTTTACACTTATCTCAATTTCAAAGTTACATATTGCAGGTATCTAAATACTACTAATGACGAAATTGCAACTACTACTAACGGTAGCAAAATTTTCACGGTCTGAGAAACATGGACATGTTCACGGAACTACTATATTCACGGTGGTGACAGTTGCAGGAAAAAGAAAGTCCAGGAATTATTTCCTAACTGTAAAGATAAGTTCACGGTACAGAGGTGACAGTGAAAACCGTGAACATTGACCTCCTGCTTGCGTTACGTTGCGGTACAGTGAAAAAAAATCGGGAATTACAGTAATCAATTACAGAGTATGTTTGCTTAGTTTCCAGATGTTTTGTATGAATGTCGTAAACTTAGTTTTAAATTAACGAAAACCGATGCGCGCACAGATGCCATCCATACAATCAAATACAACATGGCCTTATTAACAATCACATAAACTATGAAGCCATACATTGAATAAGCTATACATATAATATGATTATCATAACCTTTATTTTTAAAATCATGCCAGTGAGCTAATTGCATGTACAGAGTGAAAGAAAGTAAAGTAAAGTAAAGCAGTAGAATTTCTGTACTAAGCTATGATAGTACTCCATATGATTCGTCCTCATCGTCATCATTCAATGTGGTCTATCTCTTGCTACTAGTGACTGGTAATACCTCTGTAGATTCTTCACACTGGCAGAGTACCGTACTCATTCTCTCTTGTCAGCTCCATACTTTTATGACAACATCAAAGTGATTTTGGTTTGTATGTTGGAAAAATACAAAAGACTAACATTCTAAGTTATTGACATTCTTGAGTAAGAACAATCAGTTTTTGAATGTTAAAAGCAAAACAACGAAAATCAAAAAAAATAGTTGAATAGTTAAAATAGTCAGGATTGTTAAAATTGTTAAAACTGATAAAATTGTTAAAACTGATAAAATTGTTAAAAATGATAAAATTGTTTAAAATGTTAATATCCGATGCACTGGGGTTCGAACTCACAATTTCTGGGATTGCCGTCTGGCGCGTTACCAACCGAGCTAACTCGTTGCGATACACATCACTCACTGCATTGTATGTCATATAAAGTAAACAGCATGGCGGTATCGATCGCCTCAAGCCACCAAGACTTTCAACTATTAACTACGGGGTTTCCTTCTTTATCAGGTTTGCTTTTGAACCACCTTGATGTTACTTAACTATCAACCCGGCTAGCAGAAGCCGCCGGCTCCTTTGATATTACAGCCGCTCCCTGTCCAATCTTGTTTACACGCCGGGCGCAGGTCATTGACCTCCAACTTGCGTTGTTCCAACAGAGAAGAGCAAAATGTCTGGCTCCCGCAGAACGTACCGCACTCTCCCGCTGGACGTACCGCACTCTCCCGCAGAACGTATCGCACTCTCCCGGAGGACGTCCCGCACTCTCCCGAGGGAAGTCCCGCACAGCGTCCTGCACTCTCCCGCAGAACGTCCCTCGAAAATTGATGCGTATTTCGTGGCCTGTGCTGTACCTACCAAAACACTTGAGTTCATACTGTCAAAATGGAATGGCTTTGAACAGGTGTTAATTGAGTTAATCCAATCAAATCCAACAGCCAATCAGCAAGAAGAAAAGATTAGGCTGCGTCAGGTTCATGCTTGCATGCCCATATTTGGGCCCGCCCCCGAATTCCTTTCTTATTACGTCACGCGCGTACGCCCCACAGTACTTTCCTATGGGAACAGCTAAAAACGCAAATAAAACGATTGTAAAAGCTTGTATCAAAAAAAATAAAAAACGCCTAGGGGTATTTACCCACTCTACCTTTATACGAAATTCCAGGTCGTTTGGCCCAAAAATGAAGGAATTGAATCAATTTAAAGAAATGGCAGGAGGAGAAGAAGAAGGAGGAGGAGAATCATCAGTAAAAACAGTATTTCCCTCCATACTAAAGTATGGAGTGAAATAAAAAAAGCCTAAAAACATGCTAAATACACCCCAAACTCAAACCTCTGCTTGGAGAGTAGATAATCTTAGGTTTTCATGAAAGTTCATCTGTGTTGGTAGTAATCATCATTGTGATAGTAAAATGTACTTTATTCCAACACAAGGGTTGGGGCCGGTCACTCGACCAGGTGGGTAGATAATCATTTTATTCATTTCATCTATTTCAACTTTATTACATACATGTAAATGACCATGGGAAAACAGGAGTATCCTTTTAAGCTCCCTGACCAAATTACTAACTTAATACCAACTGAATAACAATAGGAAGAATTGCAACAAAAACGCTAATGACAATAATGATTATAACATATATTAACAATAAGATGATAAAGTAAAGTAATGCAAAATGATAAAGAAATGCAAAATAATAACGTAACACAAAGACTTAGCAAGAAATAACATGTCATTAGTTTACTGTATTTATTTAATTTAGTATGTTATATTGTGTATGTTTAATCTTTGTATTGTTTGGCACCCAAAATCAGCCATGCTGCCTGGGTGGCCAGTGTATTGTCATGTTACAATTGAATTGAAATAAATAAACAAATCGACCAAAACAATAGAATACAAGGCTAGCTTTATTGAAAGAACTCAAACATTTACAGACATCCATAGGTACATGTAAAATCATGATGTTTTTTCCACTCCCGCTACTATTAAAACACTCAGTAACCGATGAAGATCTGGAGAGCAGCAACTCTGACGATGAATCGGTGACCTCCCAGGACACCATCACCGCCGAGGAACCAACCAAAGATCAGAAGCTGGAGGACAACAGAAGATGGGCGGGCGCGGGGGGGAAGATCTCGTTTGGAAGCGCCCTCCCTCCAGAACTGGTGGCCGGAGCTCCCAAGTCGGGAAGAGATGCCGACAACAATGAACAGTATGGAAGCTTTGGAGTCAAATCTTAATATGATACATTTGTCATACGCTTTACGGTGTTGTCGCATTGCCTTTAGTCTTCCATTGCCTTGTCTAGCCCCAATGCTGCTGTGATATCAGGTATAACGTCTTACAGTAACTGTTGTAATATCATATAACTTTCTAGTTTCCCAACTGACCCTAACAAAAACCCACCTTATTTTCATTAACCGCTGCTCAGGATATAAAACATTTTTTCTGACTCTTAAGCCCTCAAATGCAGAAGAATATTTCAGAAAATAGTGTAAAAGGACGAAAAGTGACTATTTTTTTTTTGTTTCCCAACAGGAACACAACAGCCTCTGTAGCAGACAACTGGTCATCTCCAGAAGACTTTGTTATCGTAACGGACAAGGACGTGGCAGAAGCTATCAAGTCGGTGAAACCTACCAAGGCCCAGGAGCCACACAAGTTACAAGACACAGCTGAAGTACAGAAAACAGTGGAGAGTCAGAAACCAGCAGAGCCTCAGCAAGTCACTAATCAGAGAAAACACAGCGGACTCAGACCAGGTCAGTAGCTGGAGCTATATCGTCTCTCCCCATCTATCACTTCATAATGCCAGCAACATGATGAAATTCATGATATTGAGATATGTACTCACTACTGCTATCTGTCGAATAGCTACTACTTCATGTAGCACGTCACTTTCTGTATCTGTATCGGTATAGCCGGTATAACCGCCTTTTGGCGTAACACACTAGCTTGAATTGAGTAGAATATAAGCCTAACTTTATTGAGTAGAATATAAGCCTAAGGTTGTCTTTTAGAAGTTGTGCTCAGTTCCAGTCAAAGCAAGGAGAAGTAATTTTTACTTATCACTTTGAACTTGCCCGTGTATTACTACCTAGTATATTTCTCAATGCTAATGAATATAAAGATGGTACATGTACAGATGCTACGCATGGACACAGCATCAAACTTACATTGTACAAAATGTAAAGTGCTAACATCATCATTCTCCATATGGAAGGATGCCTACTATAGCTACTTCTACATGTACATGTGGAGAGTAAGGATTTGTTCTTTGGATAATTTCTTCAGTCTACATGCTGAAGCTCAACATGTTAAAGTTAAAGTTAAAGAGCCTTCCTGTGTCAAGTGATGCATAAGGCATGTTCATTAGCCCTGGGCCACACACAGCAGTCACTACAGCAGGGGGCTAGTCCACTGGTAGTGGTGTGTGTTTAACTCCCATACTCTTCCCGAAATGCTGAGTGCTAAGCAGAGAAAGCAGTATGTACCATTTTTAAAGTCTTTGGTATGACTCGGCCGAGGATCGAACTCACGACCTACCGAATGCAAGGCGAGCACTCTACCCACTTGCACCGGTTCAACATGTGGTGTACTCAACAGAATATTCTAAAGAAAGAAAATTTTTTTCTGTGTTGTTTCAGGTTTTAAATGGCAGAGACAGCTGGTGTTCAGAAGCAAGTTGACCATGCACACAGCTTACGACAGACGGGACAACCATGAGCCAGCGGCTGTCACTGCACTGGCCACATCCAAGTAAGTCTTTCACGCTTCACTTCCACTATTTTTAAACTCACTCTTACTAGTCTTAGGGCATGTTGATTTGATTATATGGGACGCCAAACCTGATGCAAGCGTTGGGAATAAAAAGACTCTGGGACCATACAAGTCGTAGGTGATGCTCAAATCAAGGAGGTTTGCTTGAATGAAACCAGAACAGTTTATTGATATTTTGCTCCCTTTCCAGGGACCATGCAAGTCATAGGTGATGCTCGAATCAGGGAGGTTTGCTTATTAAACAAGAAGAGTTATTGATGGTTTTGCCCCTTTTCACAGGGACCATACAAGGGTGTTCGTAGGTGATGCTTACTAGATGAAACTACAAAGTTCAAGAAGATTTTATTGATGGTTTTGTTCCCTTTCCAGGGACCATACAAGGGCGTTTGTAGGTGATGCTTACTAGATGAAACTACAAAGTTCAAGAAGAGTTTATTGATGGTCTTGCACCTTTAAATTTCACAGGGACCATACAAGGGTGTTTGTAGGCGATGCTCGGGGGAGGGTCTACAGCTGGTCTGTTGCCGAGCAGCCTGGTCGGGTGATGACGGACAACTGGACCAAGGACGAGGGGGTGGACAGTTGTACGGCGTGTGGGCTGAGGTTCAGCCTCACCGAGAGGAAGCATCACTGTCGCAACTGTGGGCAGGTCTTCTGTGCCAGGTTTGTTTGTTTGTTTGAGCCTCCATGAAAAATGGAAGTATTGTTTTTGGTCTGTGTGTGTGTGTGTGTATATGGGCTCAGGTTCAGCCTCACAGAGAGAAAGCACCACTGTCGCAACTGTGGGCAGGTCTTCTGTGCCAGGTTTGTTTGTTTGTTTGTTTGAGCCTTTGTTTCCTCCATGAAAAATGGAAGTATTGTTTTTGGTCTGTTTGTGCGTCTGTGTGTGTGTGCGCGCGCATGCGTGTATGTGTGTGTCTGTGTGTCTCTGTGTGTCTGTGTATGTGTGTGGCTGTGTGTGTGTATGTGTGTGTCAGTGTGTGTGTGTGTGTCTGTGTGTGTGTGTGTGTGTGTGTGTGTGTGTGTGTGTGTGTGTGTGTGTGTGTGTGTTGTGTCAGTGTGTGAGTGTTCGTGTGTGTGTGTGTTGTGTCTGTGTGTGTGTTAGATTTCATAACCCCCAGTATATTCACGATTTAACGTAATCTTGTCCCCCAGGTGCAGTCATTACCAGACGGAGATCCGCAGCCTACGTATCACGACCCCTGTACGCGTCTGCCAGGCCTGCTACAAGATCCTGACTGTCCAACACGCCTCCGAGGCACTGGTCAAGACCGAGGCCGCCTGGTGGTGACACCATCATCATCCCAACCTACCCACCCCTGCAGGGTAATGGTTCAGTCTCAGTAGATGGTGCATGACTGCGAGTCGGACAATTCCATTTTAATCCGAGAGGGTAGAATTAAAGGAACCGGAAGTGAACTCAACTAAATGTATGATATTAACAGTGATATGATTGTGAGTTCCTCTTTGTGTGTGATTTTGTGTTATACGGTCCAAAATAGCTCTGGTGGACCCAACCATTTCCTTGCCAGGGATGAGTAGGGTACCCCAATGAAATTTGTAAATAAATAATGTCCAGTCGGAATATTTGGAGACTGAAGATTAACTTTTTGTGCTTGTAGATTGTACTCTATTTATGCTAAGTGAACTTAAACAATTATTTGGGAGTATAATGATATAATATAGACACGAAAAATGTCAGTATTTCAATTTGCCACTCTCAGCTTACATGTATTAGGGTGGCACAAGAAGTTGTTGTAAAATTCTTCTCTAGAGAGGATTAGTTTTAAAAGGGAACTAAAGTAGAAATGATGGCTTCCCTACAGCAAATTAAATCTGCACCCTTCCCTTCTTAGTATTTCCTGGTGTTGTGTGTCCACTTAAGCCAAATATTGTCAGAAAATGTGCAGATGAAAAAGGATAATAATTGAGTGCCCATGCACTTGTACATCCCTGATACTATTGATAACAAAACTAAAGCAAATTATTATTAAAGTATAAACAAACCTTTCCAACAAAATAGCAGTTGTTTTTGCATAGAAATCACAAATACTTGTAATCTGCAGTTGGAAAGTAAGTTACTAGGGGGCACAATTTCCTTCTTGTTAGGGCCAAAATGGATTACAAATTAAGCTTCTCGCCATCAAACCCTACTAACAAATGAACTAACACAGGTAAAAAAAATAACCATAGCCTCAAATGACTACTAAATGTCAGGAAATACTTCTGATTGGGAAGTTTCAGATGTAGAAGTAGCAGACTAAACTGAGAGCACGGTGCGATTCAATTGTTTCAACAAAGATTGTCTGTTCGGTCCCATTTCATGAACAACTTAAATCTGTACCAGTTGTGTACAAAATCCTTAAGTTTTGGCTTAACAATTTAAGGTGTATCTGCCACAAAGTCATCATATTTGCTCTGCTGCTTGTTGTAATACCTGATATAGTATCTGGTATGGATATCAGTGAGTTGATTTGCATATATACTTGTAGTTGACCAATCATAGCCCAGGGAATTAATTTATGCAGATTATGAAGGTCAAAGTGCAGATTTCCATGTGACCTTTTCAAGGGCAATGTTATGAAAATAGTATACTAAGATTAAGAATTCAAGCAGCACAATGCAAAGTTGTTATTCTAGGTGGTGTTTGGAGTGTAAGTGTGAATGCATAGATCAAGGAGCTAAAGTGTAACTTCACAGTACTTCCGACTTGTGTAAGATAATGTACATGTATAGTGCAAAATTGCAACTTGTGTGTATATAGATTGTACTCCACTAATTTTATCTATTCATGCTTTGCCCATCGCATTGCAGTCTTGGTACTGGTGTAGTCATGTTGCTGGGTAGAATTTGTCAAGTATACTTGCATGACATATAAAAGACCTGGCCAAAAGTTGTAGCCACAGTTTCTGCATTCTGTTTTTTGAAAATAGCAGCTGACTTGATAATATTACAGTATTATTAATTATACTGCTGTTTCTCAATTAAGCAAGAATCTGCAAGTTGAAAATACTAAAACCAGAAATACAAGAGCCTTATCTGTTTCAACAAAAACAATGTCAAATCTAAAGAAGCCTATACCTGTAGACTAACTAACATTTGGGTGAGGGGGTGCCTTACTGCAAACATAAGGGAAAATTCAGATTCCAGATTTTAGTTACGGAGAAGCCTTTTTAACTATTTCTGATTATGAAGGCTTTTATTTGTGACAGAAAACTTTCAAAGTACCTGTATTATGTTTGTTTGTTGTTGTTTTTTTGGTCTGTCACAATCCTCATTCTATTTGTCAGAAATCGCGATTTCCTATATCTGACGATTGTCCAAACTCTGCTGCCAGTATGGCTAAAATATTTATTTCCAGTTCAAACTAATATTCAGTGCTACATGATAGTTTATAAGTAAGATATACTTTGCTTCAGGAGCAACTTGCAAATTCTAAAGTTGTCTTCTCTATTTATTGGTAGATAGAAGAAACAACATTGACAATGGCTTCCATGGTCACATAGCAAATATGCTGGTACTGAAGAAGTTTCTAGTGCATTACAAACAATTTTTCATATTAATAAGCTTTTATTAGACTATGCTGCAATTATGTACTCGTTACTCATGTTTGTATTTACAAAACTATAAATATGTATTCAGTTCTATGTACAATACTATTATGTTATGTAGTTATGATTCATGTATATTTTGTAACATACAGACTTTGTGTGTCAATGTTATTTACATGCACCAGATCATATTTACTAAGATGTTAGACTTATGTACAGTTATTAAGTGTGATGTTCCAAAAAAGTTAGTTCCCAACTTTACTTGGTGCTGGGCATCATTTGGATATACATGTATTTAAGTTGTTTTTTCTCAGAATGTCAGTATTGACGTTAGTCTTTACCATATGGTATAGTATGATATTTCCTAGACCAAATGATAACTTTTCTTTCAGTGAAAGTTTAGTCAATATTCATGGATGGAAAGATTAAAATTAATGGGTGAGCGTCAACTCTCTAAAGGGAAAAAACACTTTATTGTTATTGTTGGAAATTTTAAACAGACCCTTACAAGTATAACATTAACTTATAGGATGTAACATTATCAACATAGGATAGTATTTGTCAGTATTGTTTTCTTCAAACAATTGTACAAGCTACATGGACATCATGATTAAGATGGGCAGTAGAAGTATGGAACGTTACAGGCATCTATACAATTTCATGGCGAAAGGAAAAATATTCATGGATGACAAAATCTGTCTGATATTGACATTTAATGCCATTACTTGAACTTTTCTCTTGGTTATGTTTCTATCCCCCATTTATTTCTAATATTGTATAAGCTCTGCCTTACACTGTAGAGTTGAGAGTATTTATTTTGATGTGAGGTGTACATTCATGTACCTTCATGTCACGATTTTTCATGTAAATGTTGAGTATCAGAGATCAGTTTCTGCACAGAGACGATGCAAACATAGAGTTATACGATTTTCTTTTGTCACTGTGAAAAATGTCATGACCAGGTTAAACCCCCTTTCCATTGGGCAGAGCAACAAAAAGTAGATTTGCGACTCTTGGTTTTATCATTGGGGTATGATGCAAGATATAAAAGGCAACAAAATGCACAAAACGTAAAATATTTGTTCTTAATCTGTGAAATTCATTTGAGTGATCAGTCAAATCTTTGCTTGCCAGTAGAAAGGGGGTGTAAGAAATCTTACAACTTGTCTCAATCGTTTTCTGTGAATGCAAATGAAAAACGAAGTGCAACAAAATGCACAAAATGTAAACGATTTGTTCGTAATTTGTGAAATTCGTTGACTGATCTGTCAAATCTTTGGTCACCAGTGGAAAGGGGATGTAAGAAATTTTACAACTTGTCTCAATCGTTTTCTGTGAATGCAAAATGGTGAAAAAGGAAGTGCAAGAAACGTTTACCCGTGTGTAGTATGATATTGCCCCGGATGCGTTGCTTGAAGCCCTGTACAGTACTGTACTTACTGGTAGTAGTAAGGCTATCATTGGCTGGTGTTACATAATGAAGAAATCAGGAAGAAATAAACAATGCAAACTTCTAACCAGCGCCTATTCTCTCTGTATTCACTGGTATTTTAGTACCCCTGGGTATTTCATTTATTGATATGATATGCTATGATATGATATGATATGAAGAAGAAGAAGGTTTCCCGTGCTCTTGCCCGAGAGTAGGGTGGTGCCCATCTCCATTTCGTAGCCCTTGGGCGACACACAATTGTGCAATGCACTACAGCAGGGGGATAGTCCGCTGGTAGTGCTGTGTGTTTAATTGACCTTCCCACACTCTTTTTCATACAAAAAATGTATGTGCTGAGTGCTAAGCAGAGAAAGAAGTGTGTACCATTTTTAAAGTCTTTGGTATGACCCGGCCGGGGTTTGAACTCACGACCTCCCGGTTACAAAGCGAGCACTCTACCAATTGAGCTATTGCATCGGTAATATGATATGATATGATATGAATCTTTATTGCATGTTCTTGCCCAGATGGGCTAAATGCACAAGAGGACATGCAGTATGCAAAAACATGAGTATTTCATACTGAAACGCTATATTCTAATGCAAAGTGATAAGAATCTATATATACATTACAACAATACTATATACTACCTATCATCTACTGTTAGTTGCCCTTTCTTCTCTCTTTTTGAAACATGTGGAAACATTATTAAGGTCATACCCAGTAATTTTGTGGATGACGTTCACACCCAAATTTCAGTGTCATTTTGTAATCCACAATCGGTCCAAATTTGCTTGAAATACACATACGCACACACGTGAACAGGTCTTACATTCCAGTTTTTATTCTTAGAAAATTTTGTGACAAATGGAATGGAGGGTGACACAAACAAACAAACATACAACTGGTGAGGACATATGATAAGCCCCGCACTTGTGGAGTCCATACCAACTGTTACATGAAGATATCAATATTGATACAATATTAAAATAGAGCATGTGATGGAGTCACTTTTTACAGTGGACAATCCGATGTATTTCTTTAGTATTGTCTTTAATATACTCTTTTTTTATATAGATACAAACGTGACATTTTTGTGACATACATTGATGTGCATCAAAATCAAATCAAGACATAAAGGTTCTAATATGTTGGCAAAATTCTATGAAATTATTTTCTAGCAGGCATAACGTCGTGAAAAAATAACGTGCCTATCTTGACAAATATATACAATATATAGAATCTCGATTTCCCCTTTACGTGCTTAAAGAATATGATGTTTTTGATTCCACAATTACGTCGTGTGTTTTTTAGGTGGTTAAACTTACAGATTAGAGAGGTTTAGCGGTGAAGAATATGTTCATTTGGGGTTTTGCGCGACTCGGAACCTAGAGGTCCCGGGTTCGAGTCCTGACATGCCACCGATCTTGTGCCCTTGGGAAAGGCACTTTACACAACTTTCCTCACTTAACTCAGGTGAAAATGAGTACTGTCCTGTCATGTATTTGTCCCCTGTGTTGGTGGCGGCATTAATATAAGTTGAAAAACTTGAGTGTGCCGTCACCACGTCTGATGATTACATGTTGGAATTTAAAAAAAAAACGAATGTGATCGCACGGAGGAGAACTCTAATGGTCACAACTACGCGTCGGTGACCGGCGGTTCTCTGTTCTTCAGGTAGGCGGCGATGCCGGGGTTGTTCTTGACGTTGTGGAGGATCTTCTGGAAGGACGGGCAGGGCTCGACGAACTTGCCCTTGATCATCTCACAGGCCTCCGCCGGGAGGTGGGCGTTCATCAGGTCAAAGATGGCGAAGAAGTAGATATCTGCCCACGTGATCTGCAGGAGTTAAACATAGACACTGTGTTAAAACCCTGTCACACATCTAGGTCACGCCTACTTTTCTATACGAATCGTCAGAACTGGTTCAAATGTCGTCGGAAGTCGGTACCGCCCCGCGTCCCGGTTAAGAGAAGGTTGGAGGGGGGCGGTAACGACTTCCGACAAACTCTGACCCAGTGTTGGCATTACACGTGGGAAAATCACGTGTCTTTGCTTCTTTGGTCAGAAAGCTGATGAAGACCGAGAGATTCGGTTGAAAATTCCGACGAGGCTTATTTCTTAGGGTTGGAGAACAGTTTAATTGTTCACTAAAGCCCACAATATGGTAGTCAAAGACGTCCATGCGATAATCCTTACGACAGACGTAAGAGAGATGTATAGCCATCTTACCTTGTTTCCGACAAAGTAGCCGTTGTTGTTCTTGTCGGCAAACTTCTGCAGGATGGCGAACTTTGCCGGCATGTACTCTTCCACAAGTGTCTTGAGGGCCGGCGGCTGAAAAAGCGGTAAACAATCCTTCGTTAGCATTTATCTCACAAGATTTCTTATCGCGAAGGCTAAAGAACAAAACAGTTCTGCGGATCTGAGCCAAAATGCAAGGGGACTAGAACGGTGAACGTTTGATAAACAATCCGCCAGCGGGCTCAAAATCTACTACCCACATACCAAATATCAAGACAATCCATGTAAGCCTTGGAAGACAGATCACACACACGACAGACACACACACACACACACACACACACACACACACACACACACACACACACACACACACACAAACGCCACCGAAAAATACCCTTCTTGGCGAAGGTAACAAGTCACCACCTATTGGCATTTTAAAGAACTGAACTTCAGGTAAAACTGAATAGGAAGATTCCGGGTAAACAAGGTGCAGTTGGATAACTCACCCTTTCCTCTTCAGGCATGAACATTATAGGTGCCATCTTTTGGAAGAAGATCTCGTTCACTGTGTCCACGATCATGTCACAGCACGCCGCGTCGAAGTTATTTGCTCCTGTCATATCTAGAGGGAGAAGACACATTGGGGTTAGACATAAAACTGATGGACGTCCCAACTACTTAGTACCTAATATCAGCCCAGAAGAGAACAAGAAATAGCCACTGCCTTCAAGTACCAGAGTTATCAACCAAGGATTGAGGTGTTCAAGAATTCATTCTTTCCTAGGAACTCACTGTAACCAAGTACAGTAGGGGCATTGTCATAAGATAGCTTTAAACAATGTCTAGAGCTAGAAGTTCAACAAGTCGATCGGTGTGATATAGCCAGCTGCCGCCGCGCCGCGTGCCTGCGAAGCTGGTCTGTTACGCCGAAAGGCGGTTATACCGGCTATACAGATACAGATAAAAATCGTTACTCAAGCAACTGGATAGATTTTGTGAACTTTCAGATGTTTTAAGTGGCAATACATGTAGGTACATGCGTGTGTTCTACTCCTTCGATTTTCAATGGCGTACTTTTTTTTCGTGTTATGTATGAAGATTCACAATAATGTAAGTCATTCAAACGAGGAAAGGCATATAAACTTAGTTAAGGCTTTAGAATGATATTATGCAAACAGTACGTTAAACGCAACTTGTTTATTTATCAACATACGATTGCAAAGGACTGCCACCAGTGTGTTTACTATTTAGAAGCTCTTGTTGTACTTTGTTGTGTCTAAACCTTAGGAATATCGTGTTTCAACGGGAGCCTCAAAGCCAGCTGGTCTAAGTCTAAATCTAAACATTAGGACCATAAGTACCATACATACCAGACTGAGTAGTAAGCGATACATAAAAGTCATCATATCGATTTGTCCATACACTTTTACTACTAAGTTCAGTAGTATCTATTTGTTAGTGTCAGAAGAAAATCCCTATGTGCAACTCAATGTACTTTTGTTGTTTCAAAAGCCATTTTGTTTGCTTGACCTATTCTTTATTCATGAGATGCTCAAATCAGCCTGCAAGCCGCTTTTCATTGAGATCATGAGGGAAGAGGTAAGGGTCTGACAAAATATAAACTTAACATCATTTTAAATTTAAGCATTTAAGGTGTATTTCTTGAAACGTACCGTGCATTCTTGCGACGAATCTGCCGATAGCCAGACTCTCTCCCAGCGGCTTGTCGTTAATCTCCAGGATAGGCAGTCCTCCTGTGATGGCCACTGGAGGGGGGAAACAAAGTCAGGTCAGAGCTATAACTCGCGTGGCGTTACATTGGTGTAAAATTGCTGTAACATTACTGTCAAAGCTGCTGGAACATCATCGTTACACTTGTTGTAACATTGCCGTTAAGAATCTCAAAGTAGTAGTAGTATAGTAGTAGTAGTAGTAGAGGTAGTAGTAGTAGTAGTAGTAGTATAGTAGTGAGTAGTAGTAGTAGTAGTAGTAGTAGTAGAGGCAGTAGTAGTAGTAGTAGTAGTAGTAGTAGTAGTAGTAGTAGTAGTAGTAGTAGTAGTAGTAGAAGAAGAAGTAAACGCTACCACTGAAAGCTTCCAAACTAAGAACTAGGTCATTCATTCATTTGGATGACTGCATATGTAGAAAAGGAGCGTCATTCATTTTGCAATTCGTCCTTTAAGATTTCGACCATACTGTAAATCGTATAAAGCAGCTGCAAAATGAGCAAATATATGCCGTATATTGCAAAAAAAATGTTGGAAAGCGATACAAATGTCGTAGAATGACACAATAAGTTCCAAAGGAAGAGAAGAAAATGTGAAGAAATGAATATGAAGAGTCTACTATTCGTCATACCATATACGAGTGTTTGTTCATCCTTCATGACCACGTAGATTTCATAATAAGGGCAACTTTTTTGCCAAACTATTTATTCACACACTCGCATAGGTTTTTGGGTTCCCAGAGGATGTCATCCATATAATGACATTGATTAAAACCGCAAAGTAACCAGCAAGTCCATGACTGGTGAATGTAAAATGCCACACCCTTATCGACGGTCAATAGCAATGATAACATTTGGGACGTCCGTGGTTACTCTGTTTTCAAAATAAGTCTATCATCGTTTGTTTAAAGAGCACCCTTTGTCCATTTGTCAACATTAGCGGACCACGTTAGGTAACCAATAAGTACAAATGTTTGTACGTTCCCATGGAGATAAAATGCACGAGTAAAGGTGAGACAAAGAGAGGTTCCATGCAGTGGTCATGCCAGTCATGGAACTGACAGCCGCGCAAACAATGATGAAATAGCGTTATTCTACACCACCAGAGATAGCGATAGAGTTTTTCCAAGGAGAAACTACGCTACTAGATTGCAATATGATAATGTACGTTTTCTACCCGTAAATTTCCGCCAGTCCCCCTTATCCTTCATTGCCAGTGTGGAAAATGTTCTTATTAAAGTCCATTGTTTAAAATTTTCCGCTGATGATCGTGCATGAGGCCCACGCAAAAGTTGAAGGTTTTTTTCCATTCATCTAAAGTGTTAGGCTTTGGTGTTTTCAAGACACTATATTTAATTTTTATGCTCGATATTCTGCTAAACATGGTTTTCGTAACAAAACCTGCTCTACTCGAAGAAAATACGCCAGTTTTTTTTTTATAAATGGAGTTCTTTCATATAATATTCCATGCATATCATATGCTGTATCTTTTGGCCGCTCTTCTTTTTCCACCAACGCAGAGGACAAACGCATGCACGGACAATAGACATACTCATTCTCACCTGAGTGAAGTGAGGAAAGTCGCATAAGAGTTTTATAACCTCTATTGACATTAAAATTTAAGTAGAGATACTAGGTTTGATAAGTATATCGTACACGTAGAACTTCATGTTAGCAAATAGTCTCACATTTTCTTGTCAATGTCTGTATGCAATTTGCAATAAACAACTCATTAAAAAAAGATAGATCGAAAGAAATATAAGATCTTACTTGGTTTGAGATTTTTCCATTCGTCCTGAGAGATCCCGTTGAACTCGTACTTGACTCCGCCCGCCTCCAGAAGAAGCCTGATGGGCTCAGCCCGTCCACGGAAGTCGAAGTAGGTAAGTTTCACCTTAGGGGGCGGCATGCTGTGCTGTGCTTTCGCTGCTGCAGGAGGCGCCGACTGTGCGGTGTTAGAACTTGCTCCACAACCCATAAGTTACACGTTACACGAGTTAGCACAGCTTCTGATAACAACAACAACGACTTTCTTCAGATCCTTCCGGCAACAGATCCAACTAACTTGTCCAAAAGGCGAGGTACGAAAACGCTGCAACAGGCTTGTAGTAAAAGTAATGTTCAGTGATACCGCGACCGGCTTCACAGAGCGCTGGACTCACCGAGTGTGAATGAGAAAGAGGGCGTTTGCTCAAGTCTTTAAGTAGTGTGGAAGTCGCTATGGCAGTGTATGCCAAACAGAGCAGGCTAGCGATAGCACCGCAGGTCAACAATGGGCTGAACCGATCAAATGTCCCGGATCCCTTCTCAGGCAAGGCGTGACAGAGGACGTTGTCCTCCCTTCAACACCGTGTTTGTTCACATCACTCTGTCCTGACTTCGTTGTTATGACGCTGAGGTAAATAAGAAAACACCACCGTATACGTACGCACGATGACCTCAAGGAGACAACCCGTGCAAAAGGCTAGACAGGCTAGAGCTGGAAACTTTCCTCGGTGAAAACAAATAAACGATTCAGTCACTTATGATTATACATCAAGGAGCTAGGTCCAATCATTAACTGAGCCTCCTTGCATGGTTGTATTGCACACAAATGTGACAGTATGTCAGAGAGAAAAATTGCTTTTCATGCTGTTCTCAGTGCCAATGGCCGAACGGTTATGAATGGCCTACAAGCAACAGATATCGCAGTGAAAAGGTTACGTACTGAGTCCCAGTGATAGATAAATTATTCACAACTCAAGGCCTTCAAGAGATTGACTCAAGAATTAACTTCACCAGATAAGTCTGAAGAGTTAAGACACGTGGTAATTCTTGCGCACAGTATCAGTAAGGTGATCGGGATGACTTGCAATTTTCTTGTCTCATATCATATGTCTTCACTTCAGCAAGGGGACAAGTAGGGAAGCTGCCATGACTTGCAGTATTTCTTTTGTCCCGCTGACCCCCTGCAGTGCTTCAGAAGAGATCTACAGGTCGTTCCGAGTGGATGCTAGACATCCAGGTAATAAGATGCACCAAAAACAGTTACTCAAGCAACTGGATATGATTTTAGAAACGGTCAGACGATTCAGGTAGCACCCACTACCTTTTTATTGGCACTAGAGACTGTAGGAGAATTGCAGGTTTATGAGCGCGAACTATTGATGGTTTCGTCGATGAAGGTTAGACATCCAGGTAATACGATACGCCAAAAAGCAGTTACTCAAGCAACTGGACATAATTTTGGATTAAACCAGCTGCAATTCTCCTCTGGTCTCGCAGTCACTGACGAAACTAGTGGATACTAGCTGAAACGTCTGACCATTTCCAAAATCATATCCAGTTGCTTGAGTAACTGCTTTTTGGCGTATTGATGGATTGTTCTTTGGCGAGACCTACAGGGCGTTGCGAGTGGAGGCCAGTGAAAAGGGTGTCAGGTGCCATGGTGTTGAACACTGTCTGTAACACGCTATGCCACTGCACACAGTTCTAAAGGTGTCTGAAACTCACATATTGTGCACGGAACAATGTTTGCTAATCTAGCAGATCTTTTGGTGGCTGCAAATTAATTAAGACATTAAGACAGCAAAATTTCATGGTCTGAAAATAATGGAGGTGTTCAGAGAGTTACAGTAATGATATACGTTCATGGTGGCGGCAGGTGCAAGAAAAAGAAAGTTGACAGTTGATTGTTAGACTTGTTGGTGATGATATGACTAAGTTCATGGTACAGTAGAGACAGTGAAAAAAAACAGGAATTACAGTAGGTTCTGGTCTGTCTTAACAAGTGTGAAGTAGTTGACAGGACAATTGTTGTATTATATTAAGTTTTTATTATCATCACCATTTGTTACAAGTAGCTATAGACATATTCAAGTTGTATTATATGAAAAGAATTACTTTAGTTAGCTAGCTATATTCTTATACTCACTGTATCTTTTTTCAATAGGATTTTGCCAAGAATGCAGAGAATTTCCCCCAACTAAAGTAAAACACTACATGAAAATCCCCTGGAATAACCTTGTAAACATTTTATCTAGTGTGCAATAGGGCAATAAAAATTCAATATCTTCTGTGACATACTTTGAGATGAAGAGGGCCTGCACAAGCATAGAATGTTAGTTGAAATATAAGTTATATTCTTGCAGATATACATGTAGCTGAAGCACTAAGATTACGAACCGTTTGCTTCATCAGTTAAAACGTTGCTGATGTTTTGTCCTGCAGTCAATAGATAACAGTCCTGGCACAAGCATAGAATGTTAGTTGAAATATACTATGCTTAGAGATATAGTGGAAGTTCTAAGATTGTGAACTTTTTATTTCATTGACAAACACATACCTGATGTTTTCTTCTACAGACAAGAAATGGCATTAGTGTGCTTAAATGTATACATGTAGCTGAAGCACTAAGATTGTGAACTGTTAGTTTCATTGACACACAGTGTCACATAGCTGACGTTTTCTCCAACAGACAACAGGTGGTAGTAATGTATGTATATATGTAGCTGAAGCGATAAGATTGTGAACTGTTACTTTCATTGACATTAATGTTTTCTCCTGCAGACAATAGATAATAGTCCTGGCACAAGCATAGAATGTTGAATATAGCTGAAGATTGTACTAAGATTGTGAAGTGTTGGTTTCATTGACAAACACGTAGCTGATGTTCTCTCCAGCAGACAACAGATGGTAGTCCTGTATGTCCCTGTCCTCCAGAGGTGCCCTGTGGTGTGTCCAGCCCAGCAGTTCTGCCATGGACAGGTTGGACCTCAGCAGGCTGGCGGACTGCGGCTGGCCGAGCTGACACGGACGAGACACCACACTGGGCTGGGGTCTGTCTGAACCTGGGGAACCTGAACAGTCACCACCGGGCACTGGGAGGAACATGGAAACTGGGATCAGTATTCAACTACAGTTAAACTGGAAATAGGACCTAGGAAATGTGGTTCTCTAAGACAAGTGGTCTTCCTATCAAAAAACATGGCTAAAAGATAAAACACAGAAGAAAATAGAGTATAGAGTATACCATTGACCCAAAGTGACATTGTGCAAAGACTGTCATGCTGTTGAAAACTGTTTTTATCGTGCTTGCTGTCTGAGCTGTCAAGGAGGTCATGTAACAAAAAACACCTGTGAGAACAGTGATTGCTATCAGATGAAGACATGAATGACTTTCTCCCTCTGAACTCCACTATATCTATTACTACCTGACCTAAGGGCCATGCGGAAACACAGACACACACAAGGTCACACACACAGACATAATGAAAACAATACCTCCATTTTTCTTTGAAATAGGAAATGCTGAAACAGTTTCTTACCAGCACAGTCTAACAGGTCATGTGTGACACTGTCAGTGTCTTCATGCAGGGTGAAAAGATCCTTCAGCTCCTCTGCTGAGAACTGCACCTTCCCGGAGCTCTTGGCATCCACAACTGCCCCACTCAGACCCTGCTTACTGATCTGTCGCTGGTAGATCTTCTCTTCTATAGTTCCTGTTAGGAGTGGGAGAAAGTGATCTTGATCCAGTTTTAACTAACTAAAATTGAGGTGTGACAGTTTCCCAAAATATACAATAACAAGCAATACAAATAACTGGAGACTTAGCTGTACTACAAATTGTTCTAAGCCTGTCACACATACACGTACATGTAGGATCTTTCCTATACACCAGTCCACAGTTCGGAAGCGTTCTGGTCAAATCTAGGCAAAGCCTACCACTCAAACGTTTGGCTAGCCTGGTTAACCAGACCCCCGTGAGCTCAGCGCTATCTCTTCGGCGCCGAGAGCATTTAGGGCCACCAACCAGGCCTCAATTACTGCGCTTCGGGGGGTTTTAGGTTTTTTCGTTCACAACGGCGGCAAAAGAAGACTAAGCGTAATACAGGAAGTCAGCGGATACAGGGAAACCAGCTGGAGATAGGTCCGTGGCATAACTCGCCTGTGCTTGGTAAAGGCCGGGGCCGAAAAATTACCGCCAAGCCGACCAAAGGTTTGGTACCCAGGCTAACGTGTGGCAGGGGCCTTACCAGTAGTGATGAGCCTGTAGATGTGCACAACCCTGGGCTGGCCATCCCGCCACACCCGTGCCATGGCCTGCAGGTCATTAGCTGGGTTCCAGTCGATGTCATACAGCACCAGGCGAGACGCTCCGATCAGGTTCAGCCCCACTCCACCGGCCTTGGTGCTCAGGAGGAACACAAAGTCCCTACAAACAACATCAAGGGAGAGAAGTAAGGAACTGCAGAGTCAATCATGAATAATTCAAAGTCCCAGCCCATGTTCCTTAATAATAATAATATGGAGACAACCTGTTGGGCAGAGCGTGTCGGATTCCCTCGAAACACAGAAAGTAAACTCCTCATCCTTGAATAATTTCATCAGGTTGGTAAGACACTGAGTAAAGAGACGCTTTTTACACAACCAAGTCTTTTATTCTACAGCAATGACAACTGTGTTGCAGTGCAATGTGAACCACTCAAAATTGTCCTGATGAAGATGACAAACGGTCACTGAAATCTCGGCTGTGAAACACTTGGTTGTGTAAAAAGAGTCTCTTTACTCAGAGTAAAGTAAACTGTGGTCCCAGACCAACAGATCCTGACCTGCAGTACTTGTCATTGAATCGCTCCACAATCTGTTGTCTCTTGCCAGTGGGGGTACTACCATCCAGCCTCAGGTAACCATACCCCTGTGATTTACACAACTCCTGGAATAAATAAATGGGGGAAAAATTAGTAAACCAAAACAATTCTATGACTAGAAAGGAAAGAACTTAGGATCTAGATATGAAAGTAATTCCACCAAACTTATTACGGATTAGTTACCAGCCCTGATTCTATTTTTACATTACTTTCTATGCTCAAACACGTGTAATAAACAAATACACAATGACTGTGGCGTCTGTGTGGTGTAGTGGATAGAGCGCCCGACTGTCAAGCAAGAAGACCCAGGTTCAATCCCCAGGGTTGGACCCAGACATGTCCAGACTTGCACCCAGATAGACGTTGTGCCCTTGGGAAAGGCACTTAACACGCATTTCCCCCCTCAGTTAGAGGGATCCTGGGCCCTACTAGGGTTTGGGTTGGCATTAGGAAGGGCATCCAGTTGTAAAAACTTGCTTCAAAAAAAGACTTGTACTTTGTGCAAGCACGTCTAACCCCCGGTTAGGGAAAAATGACGTTAAATTCGGTTAAAAACAAAAAAAACAATCTTACCTGTACCATGTCTAAGGTCTGTGTATAGTTGGACACCACCACAATCCTCTCTCTGGGCCCTTCAGAGTACAGAGACCCTAGCAGATCAGCCAGGACCTGCAGCTTTCCTGAGTACTCAGGGCCAGCACTGGTAGGTAACAAGGATGGAGCAAAAATGGCAGATATTACATTTATATGATATCATTATGAATTGACCATGCCTATCTTTTTCAAACAATCAAGAAAGTACATGTAGTTCAACTGTGTCTGAGATTTTTTAGATTCATTCTCCACTCCGAATAGTCATTTGATCACAGATCTTACTACAATCTCTAGTCGAAGTATCAGAAATGGACACTACATGACAAAGCCACTGTCTGATACCATATCTGACACATTTGTTGAACCATTATGGTTACTTGAAATGTATTATGTGCCATTGATGATAAAAATCTGACCTTATGCAGCAAGTTTAAACTGTAATTTCCAACACAAGAAATTGGAACCACCCAAATTTTTTACTGCATAACTCCAGTCTTTGTCAAGGAACGAACCGTTTCCATGACGTCACGCAGATAACACACATTCTACCAAGTGAACACAGATGAACTTTCAAGGTAAAAAAACTGACCTGTTAGGATCATACCCCCTTGGGAAGAGTGGCAGTACGTCCTGGTAGATGGACTCTCCCACCTGGTCAAACCCAAACAGTTCATCCTCATCCTCCAAGAAACTGGGAGCCTGGTTTTCTGCCTGGTGTATGATACAGTAATAAAGTACTTAAATCATAGGATTATTTCAAACTCTACTATTGGATGAATGACAGAGATAATGGAGATACAGGGCATTCCTGAAAAGCAGTGTTTTTAAATAGCACTGAGGTCTCTACCCTGTATAAATAAACAGAAATAAATAAACTTCTGGACGTTTCGAGCAATATCCACCACTCTTCTTCAGCATCACTGTAGTTCATCCAGTTACTGTAATAGAGTTTGAATTTCCTATGAGTATTGTTTACCTGAATGTCTAACCTTCATCAACATAAAGTTTTTTACTACTGCAAGTTTATGCCCGAGAGATAACTGCAAACTGACAGGGACAATGAGTACAGAATGTATTGAAGAATGGTATAAAACCATGCGCTAACATAAAGTTCTACTTTTACTAATCTAACTTTCTATCACTACTTTGTCTTAAAACTACACATAGAATAAAACATGTACATGTACTGTGATTCCTGATTTTTTCACAGTACTTTTATGTTCACAGTTTTTATAGTCACTTCTGTACCGTGAATTTATCATTACCGTTGACAAATGGAGCCTTGCTATAGCTAGTACTCCACAAAAAGAGGAGTGAAAGCAGGAAAAAAGGCATGGGAAAGGCAGAAATAAATGTGTTCATCAAACCTCTTTTGCAGCAGTGTAGATGAGACTGGGATCATTGCAGAGCTTCTTCAATGCTGAGATACACATCAGGTGTAAACTTCCATCTGTAGGTCTGTACAAACAACATCAGAAAACATATGTCATGCCAAAGCTCTGGTCTTGATTGTACATGTACTCATACATACAGCCATTAGATCATGGTTTCTAATGATTTTACTACATATACAGTCAAAAAAACTTTTTCTGACGCATGCTTGAAGATGACCGTGGTAATAGCAAAGCTTGGACCATCTGCTGTTATTTTGCACAAGTGGTCAGCCTAGGGCAAGTCCCTTCATGATTACATCTATGGCAAAACAAATCGGGACCAAGAAAACACAGTTGTTATGGCCAGATGGCCGGCTTATAGAAGTGGTCGCTTGGGCAAGCTTGACGACCGGTATACTGTATATATTGCCAATAGGGCCTTGCTTGCTAAGCTTGGCCTGGAAGACATTAAGTCTGTCGTGCAGATAGTACAGGCACGTTAAGCGTGCCAGTGGCTGCATCAACACCATCGTGGACTTGCAGTTGCCAGGCAACAGAGGCCGTGGCAGGCCTAGAAAAACTTGGGTGGAGTGTCTCCAGAGGGATATTAAGGAGTGTGGTCTGTCCAGCACAGACCCACAGGACAGAGCCAGCTGGAGGCGAGGTGTCCAGAACAGCCGTCTGCTGCCCACCCCTGGGACAGGGAAACCGGCAGCAAAATAATCAAAACCAGGATAAGAGAAGAAAGAAGAGGGCCGTACCTGTTACTGTACAGAAAAGACCTGAGCACCCTGGAACAGAGCAGCTTCCTGTAGATGTCCAGCTGCAGGGGGGTGGGTCTGCAGAACACAACGGCCTCCACCTTGGGAGGGAGGTTTTTTTTTAAAACTTAGGCCATGTTGATTTGATTATATGGATGACATCCGTGTGCGCATGAATTTTCGCCCATTTCCAAAAAAAAAAAAAAGTTTTCAACCATACTGTAAATTGTACAAAACAGTTGCAAAATGAGCAAAAATATACCAAAGTTACAAAAAAAAATTAATAAAAACTATACCAATGTCGTAGAATGCCAAAATCAAACGAAAAAAGACGAAATTGTAAAGAAATGAACTTGAAGACTAGATTATTCGCCAAACCATATTCTGTGCCATTTGCTCAACCCTCATGACCACGTAGATTTCATAATAAAAACAACTTTTTTTTGGCAAAACTTTTTTTTTATTCGCACGCGCGCATCAGTTTTGGGGCTCCCGGAGGATGTCATCCATATAATCAAATCAACATGGCCTTAGTTGTTGTTCATAAAGCATAAATACATTAGTACACAAGTACACGCTAGTAACATAATATGCAATGATTACAATTTTTCATACGTTTCTTAATAAACATTTGGCTTTAAACAGTGAGGTTATATCCATTCGACTACTTCCATATTTAAATTTAGAGATGGTATTTTTTCCAACCAATATCAGTTCATTAAAGTGTTTAAATCTTACATCTGAAAGGTTATATCCGAGAATTATATCTTGTACGGTTAACACTAGCGTGTGGCCATATTCAGAAAGAAAACACTTTTCTACTTCTGACCATAATGGTTTGACATCTGTACATTCGAAAAAGAAATGCTCAATATACGAATTCGCCGCTTCATTTTTTCTAATTTGCAAATAAAAATAAAAATTCAAAATCAACTGCAAAATGCTCATATTTTGCCCTGAACAGTTAAAAACAGTCCTTTTCTTACTACTTGTTACAGTCATTCCATCTTTCAATGCAGTAGTATCATTAAAAGTTCAAAATTCACTGTTTAAATTTTGAACCAGCCTGGTGTGTTGACTTCATGACTCCTATCGTACCATTTTGGGCCATAATAGCATGCCTAGTGCTGTTTTTATTTTTATTTTTTTTTTCGCCCGCCCGCTCCATAATTTTTCCAGAAAAATCTGTTAACCAAGAAATTAAATTGGTGTGGCCTAATGACTGTAATTATGTCTGTTTAGTGACCTTGGGAGGCAGGTACTTGTTGTTGACGTCCTCCGTGCGCCGTAGCGTGAACTGTCCTGTGAGGCGAGACAGTTCCTCCGCTCGCGTCACGCCCAACGTTTTCTCAGCCTCCGTAGCGCAGGGCTGATGGGATCTGAAATGACAACAGTGAATTTTTTTTTAAATTTTATTCTTTGCTTCAGGCCAGAGGCCCATATAAAAACAGGGACAATACAAAAACAAGTACAGATACACAAATCACATACAGATGTCTAAAAAGTGCGGCCAGTAGAGGCTCCTTGTAAACACGTCCGAATGACAAAGCGTGTGCACAATACTATTTCTCGGTGCGAGAAGGCGCTTAGCAAAGGAATATGACAGTTTGTGCCACCTGGCGTATAAAGCCTTTGACTTTCAAATCAAAAGCTTCCAATTTGACTAAAGGTCTTTGCCTCATAACGTTCCTTGCTGCACCTATATATGGTGCATAGGGCTGAACCCATCTCCGTTTCTGTTGCCCTTGGGCCACACAGTTTTGCACTACAGCAGGGGGCTACAATGTAGTTCACTGGTAGTGGTGTGATTTTAACTCCCATACTCTTTCCCAAATGCTGAGTGCAAAGCAGAGAAAGCAGTATGTTTTCAAATGTTGTGTTGATAAAGATATCGTCTTCCTCAGACAAAATTATGATGCAACATTCCCTACAAAAACCATGAAAAAGTCGGGTTTCACACAGGCACAGAACAATCTGCCTCAGCAGATCTTCACACAAAGGTGTTGACCTGACGATGGGTTCCTCATACACCTTCCTGAAGGCCATGAGTGGGCCCAACACTCCAGGGTTACAGAAGTCTACAATGGAGTGCAGCTCCTGCAGGTCATTCTGGATAGGAGTACCTGCGTGGAGGAACAGAGAACAAAAAAATGTTTTTTAAAGCATCCAGTGCAGTTTTCAGGGCTTGGAAACCCAATTTTTCAAAGCCAATATTTCCTGTCCAGGGGTTTTTCTAGAAAAATTTGGCATGAGGGAGCAGTATCATGGCGAGGGAGCGAAGCGACCGAGGGGGGGTTGGTGGCGGGAAGGGGGGGATCCCCCCGTTCCGCCATGTGAAGCCTTTGAAAATTTGAAGTTGAAATGGGACATTTTGAGGCTACTTGAGGGGGAAAATTTGAACTCTTAATAACCTCAATTAGTCAATATCTTTCCTAAATTTCTATTCATGCATTGCATATTTCCCTTATAAAATATAAGTACAATCAACAGTACACACAATCTGCAAATCACCCTTTATACACTTACACAATTAGTGATCAATGTTACTAGTAGCTCCAGATGACAATATTGGGTTTGCCACAAGCTGAAACCTTTCCCATGGCACAATTGCAACACATTCATCCAAGCTGCTACAAACTCAGGTCTCATGTTTCACTTCAGAGCCTGTTCTATAGTATGCAAATGAAGGAGGTCTAGCTACATTTCTTTGAGCAAGTTCTCAATGAACATTGTTTATTCCATTCAAACTTTTACTACTAGAGCTAAATTTTTAAGTTTGTGATAAGATTTTGGAATTTTTGTGAGAGTAACATAGTTTGTAATGCTAGAATTTATTGTTCTGTGGTTTTGTTTTTGTATTTTTACTGGAAAAAGATGATTTTGAAAAAGACTTAGACTTCAATCTGAAAATTGATATGAGGGCGCTGGTTTGTTACATGAGGGCGCAGCGCCCTTGTTCCCCTGTTCAGAAAAACCCCTGCTGTCATTTATCTACATACCGAGTTGATACCACACTATCCCGATGTATATCGACCCTCATGGAGGAAAAATACCCAAAATTCTGACGGAAAATGGTTACTGAAAGGGCCCTTGGCTGATTTTTAGGGTACCTCCCATAAAATGAAGGACTCATCTTGGGGCTTGTTTCTCCAGTTTGAAGTACCCAAAGTATGAAATGATGATTGAAATGTGCTAATGTGAAGCAGTATGTGTCAATATCATAAATATTTCTTCATTTAGAATATTTCCAGTTTTGCTGCTCTGAAATCGCATTGGATGCCTTTAAGGGACCCTCATGCACCTACTGTACAAGCAACTCTGCAGTCTTAAGCTTTTGGGGGCAGTCTACAGTTTCGGGGGCCTCTACTGTGGATCAAACTTTCTACCAAACAAAGGCAACTTACCTCCACAACGGCTTTCAAAAACGGACTAAAATAGGACTGTATTCCACTTTGTTCTGAACATAATATTCCATGTTATGTGTTTTATGTCAATTGTAATCAATTTGTTTTCTTGCTGTATTTATTGAGCACTAGGTAACTTTATGTACATGTGCATGACATATGTAAGTATGTATTCTTTTGTGTACCCACTGAAAACATGTAACTACCAACACAGATGAAGTTTTATGATATTAAGATGTTGTTGCTGGAGGTAAAAAAGAAATTTCATACCGTCTATCACAAGGCTATATTTACATGTTGTACCTGTTAATACAATCCGTTTCCTAGCTGATAGCCCAGAGATGAAGGAGGTGGTTTTGATGTTTGTGTTCTTGAGTCTGTGGCCCTCGTCACACACTATCAGGTCAAAGTTGATCTTCTTGATATCCCTGATGCACCTGACCAGCATCTCATAACTGATGATCATGACTGGATAGAGGGGAGACCGGGCAAACTCCTCAACTCTGCTGTCCTGTAGAAATAACAAGAATTTGGAGACCTCAGACCTCCATGAAATATTTATAGATCTTGTGTGATGGTGACTGTGTCATCTTTTCATTCACCATGATGTCTACACGTCTTTCATTATCAGGGCTCGAAATTCATTTTTGGGAGTAGGTGCACTGGTGCACCCAACCAAAAAATTTAGGTGCACAAATTTTTTGGGGTGTCAAGAATATCTTGTATACTACTATACATTTGATATGTTCAAAAATACCAACAAAAATATTTGGGTGCACCAGTGCACCCAGAGAAAAAATTGGGTGCACAGCTTCAATTTTGGGTGCACTAAGGTGCACATGCACCCAGTATTTCGAACCCTGATTATCGTGCAACGGAAACAACACCAGCTGTCAAGGAGGTCATGTATTGAGTCAGACTGGGACAAACCAAGACAAACCATAACTTTAAAGTGTTTTTTACTCTTTGCCCTTGTCACGATTCTGAATGAGAATGTACAAACCTGTCCCACTGCGTACACCTTGCAGCGCTCATCCCCCAGCCATTTCTTGAATTCCTTCACCCAGTTCTTGACAAGACTACCTGTAAAACAAGTGAGCTAAGATACTTAGTATAATGTAAACTGGCAATGAAGTGGTACTAAAAATATTTTGTCTCTCATCAGCAGCCAACCCAAAAAAGGCTACGGTTGGGTTTTTTTTTCTAGGGTCAGTGGATTAACCGGAAGCAATTTTTTTTTTCCTATGCCTCACCTGGGGTGACAATAAGAATCCTGTGCAGAACAGGCTTGCCCCCGTATGGTCCCTGCTTCAGTAAGGTCCAGATCAGGGTGAGACACTGCAGGGTCTTCCCCAGACCCATGGAGTCTGCCAGTATGGCTCCCAGGCCAGGGTGGTCTCTGGAAGGCAAGGCAAAGATTAGAATCCAAGTGTTGTTTTTTTTTTTGGTACTTCAGAGCACTAAAGGCATCCAAATGAATACAATTTTAGGCAAGCAAAACAAAAAATACTTGTATTCTGCATGAGGAAATCTGTCTGATATGTACTGTCATTTCTTAGCACATTTTTGTCTTCATTTCAACTTTTTGGCGACGCCTTTGGGGCGGAGGCATTTGTGTAAGTACTACGATCGCTTTGAAAGAATTTCAAAAATTGCACGAATGCGTTCCCCAGGGAATTGGTTTGGAGGAAACCTTCGGCCATGTGGTTTTTGGATCAAGCAGGTAACTTACACGGGGTGCCCACGTGCCACCCATCCAGATGCCTGGCATGATTAATTACTGGCCATCAGTCTTCTCCCCACACCATGGACAGAGAGCACAGCTGTCTTTGGCCAAAGACCATATTCAAACAGGTCACAGAGAGAAAAGAAATTATCCGTCCTTTTGGAACCCACAAAAGGTAAAAAAAAGTCAAAGGAGTAACAACTTCAGACCAGACATAAAATCCAGTCTCTGGTGGAGGATAGAGTGAAGTGGAGGATGGTTTTCAGTTTGGTTCTAGCGGGAACTCGACCAAAGTAAAGTAAGTAAGTATGTCATCATAAAATCTATATTGCTGGGGAAGAACGGCTGATTCCTCCTATACGTGTATTTGGTATATTGCCCCACACCTCCTCCACCCAGCCTGTAAATTTCACTACGTGCATGTCTTTATAGCATAGGGAAATATGTTTTTCTGATAATTGTAATGTAGATTGCTAGCTCCACCACATGAAATAATATATATCATTCAGTCGTCGCCTTGGCAATGATTTTTATTGCCTCACCCTTGTTGAAGCAGCTTAGAAACAAACTATGTTAGGCACATCTCTTTATTTTTTAAGTCACGACACATAAATAGTTAGAACCAACCTACCAAACAAAACAGAAGAAGCAATCTTTTTTCTGTCAGTGACATTGCATGCCCAGGGCTCGAAATACTGGGTGCATGTGCACCTTAGTGCACCTAAAATTGCACTAGTGCACCCAATGTTTTTCTGTGGGTGCACCGGTGCACCCAAATATTTTGGTAGGTATTTTTGTACATATTATATGTACAGGATATTCTTGGCATCCAAGTGCCAGAAAAAAAATCTTTGTTGTAGTTCTTGTGTAAGATTTTGAAGTTTCAGATTCAAGCTTGTAATTATGTTTTGTTCTATATGGTGCACCCAAAAAAATTTTTGTGCACCTAATTTTTTAGGTTGGGTGCACTGGTGCAGCTATTCCCAAAAATGAATTTCAATCCCTGTTCCGGTACTTAGATATATTGGTACTGTACCTTATCAATTCTTGCGGTACAGTACTGGTACTGGTACTCAACTGCATATGGATACACTGATCTCTACCCTCACCTCATCCCCATGACACACTGGTACAGGAAGATGACCCCATCCCTCTGGTGAGGCCTGAGGTGTCTGGACAGGTGAGGGTCCACCACAACGTCCACCAGGGGCTGACCGTTAGGGTTGTACTTCCACTGGTGGGCAGGGGAGGGCCGCGGCATCACCAGGACTCCCTCAGCTGTACGGGAAACAGGGTTTTATACTTTGAACTAGAGAAGTAACATTAGCAAAGCAAATGCATAATGTTTACCTTCGGACATGGTTTGCTCTTCTTCCTCAAATACATGTACATTCATACATGTACATCCCTCCTATAAAATTGCAACATTATGTAACCCAACACTAGTCACCATGGTGACAGACATCAACAAACCAGGCCATTGGCCAGGTCAGAGGTTAGTGTTTGGAACAGAAGAAGAAGAAATGTAGTAAAAACATTATGTTTTCCTTCGGTAAACATAATTAATGAAAGTTCTTCTGTACGTGTGTTGGTAGTTACCACATGTTTAAAGTTAAAACTTTTGTTCCAACACAAATGGTTCTCACCGAGAGCTTTCAAATGCCTTCATGGATAAAAACTGCATCTAAACAGATGGGTGGTTACAAATGAATTTCAAAAAGCACCCTCAAGAAAATGCACTGTATGCATAGAGTAACTGATGAACAATGAAACTGACATCTTTCTCTAAAAATTGGATTATGAAATAAGTACTAGACTGCACAAGTGCACATGTATATGTTCAACATAATTTTTTAACCTTTCATTCTACATTCATTGACCCCATGAATATATGGACTGAATGAGTGATAAACATTTTTTTTTATTTCATTCACGTTGCCCTCAATGTATGTTTCCCAGTTTCTCACCTGTTGGGTCAAACCTTGGTGCAACAGTTTGCTGTGCACCGGCTCCCCCTGCTGATTTCTTCTGTGTTGCAGCCAGTTTGTTTTTCATAGGGTTTGTGAACGGCTTGGGTTTAGGCTGCACTTTTGTAGGAGCAGGATCAGGAGATGAAGAGCTTGATATACTCTGGAAACACTTTCCTGTATTCCAGTCTTCAAGTGTAATCTATAAAAATACAGCAAAACAGAAAGAAATCACAGACAGAAAGCAAAGACAGCAGTATCATGAGAGGATGATTGAATGAATTTGAATCAATCCTTAAGTTACATACATTACATTTTTTTTATTTACCATATTCCATATTATTAGGCACACCTAATCAATCCTCCATCTAGTATTAGAAAGTCACCTGCAGTCTGCATTTTCAGTATTGCAAAAGGAGAAAGACTGAAAAAATCAGGCTAGGTGTCAGCTTCCATGGATTATAATCGCAAAATGTGTTTGTACAAATGATACTTGCTTATAAATTCAGATAACACAGTTTCTTTTGCTGTCTACTTGCCGAAAGTAGTATTTCCAGCTTAATGTCCCATCCTAAGGACTGCGATCTTTACGTACAGTAGCGTGCATATCCGATGAGCGACAATAGCCAGGATTCGAACTCCCAACCTCTTGATTCAAAGGCAGGGTCAAGACTACTTCACAAGCTACAAATGGAAACCAGGCTACAGTACACCATATCTTACCTCATCGTAAATCTCCACCTCCTTTCCTCCCACCTTCAGTGTCTGTCCCTCTGTCATATCAGACAGCTCTGTTGTCTTGTACCCACTAGCTCCTCCGATCTTCTTCCCTTCTGTGTCCAACAGCTCTACCGATCGCTTGTGCACCACTAGTACCGCATCCCCCTCCCACCTCTTATGTTTCCTTCCTGATACCTTACACCACATCACGTTATAGTAGCGCGTCTGATGTCCACTACCCTCTGTAGGACCAGTATACGTACTGTTGTCATGACAATGTTTAGGTTGTAATTGTATGTGCGCTAACGGTTTTTGCGTCGAAAGCTTTTGACTCGGAATAGGTCGTAACTGTTGTTTACGATTTTTCATATTTGGGTTGGTGGAAGTCTGTGGTTGGGTAGAATTTAAACTAGAAGTCGAGGCTTCTGATTGGTTCTCCACCTCATCTTCCCATTGGTCAGAATGAGAGAGAGTGAAGTTGGGCATGTCCTGTTGGTCGGAACCATTGTGGTTGGCAGATAGTTGGGACGTTGTCTTGGGTGTTTCTAGAATGCTGAGGAGGCGATGCTTTGGCTGAGACTTTGGCTGAGTAGCTACAGGCCTAGGCTGGGCTGCTGGTTGTTTGGACACAGGTGTCGGTTGAGATGTTTTTGTTGGCTCCTTTGGCAAGAAAAACAATGTTTGTCATGAAAAACATCAATGATTATACAGAGAATGCCAATTGTAAGCATGACGACTTGAATAAAAAAAATCTTTTAAATGTTGTACCTAGGTTACAAGGGCTCTTTGTCTACCATTCAAAGAATTTTACATATCTTGTCATTAATACTAGTACTAAAACTGGACTTTCAAAGTTAATTTCCTGCTCATTTAATGTACTACTAGTAGTAGCAAGGTCCTTGTAGTGGTACTAGTAACTGTTTAACTCTTTATGCTGCCTTAGATTCCTAAATAACAAATGGAAACCTAACGATTCATGAATATTTAACTTAAGTATACAGTTTCGTTTTGCTGCCCTGTATTCCTCAATAATGATTTGGAAACCCACAATTTATGAATATTTAATTTTTTCAATATACAGTACCTGTTGTACATGTGGCTTGGTGGCTTGTGGTGCAGCAAAGGGTGGATTGAACCTGGGTCTCTTGGCTGCATGGAGCTGGGAGGGGGCAGCTGATCTTCTCATGGTAGAACTCAATCAGGCAGAGATTCACAAACTAAAGGACAAATACAAAATAGGATAATTATGAAGCACCAAGAGTTATACCTAGACAGACAATTGACTCTGAACTGAACCATGTGCATACCAGCACCAAGAGACCACGTCTACTACGGTCTAACAAGATATGAGACGTTAAACAAGGACAACAACTAGTATTTTCTGCAGAGCTACCTGTGTTACGTGTAACGTTACATGGTAGAACTCGATCAGAGATTCACAAACTAAAGGGGACAAATGGCTAATGGGAAATGAAGTATATATTTTCTGCATAAGCACAAATTTATTGAAATTAACTATTTTCAGTTCCACAATATCAGACATTAACTTCTAGATCTCTGTAGTGGGTGATAATTTCAAACTGGGCCTTTTAAATCGTATCGCTCAAGTTTCCGCTAGCTTTTGAATTAGGCTACACCGCCCCCCTCCCCTAAAATTTACCACTTACATAATGTAGTACGGGGATTTACTGTACAAACGTAGCAACACTTACCCTTGAGAACTTACCGTCTTTTTCCTGGTACAGTGTTATAGAATCCTGGTTAAAATTCTCTGCTCTGTAAGTTCTGTAGACTTAATTTTTTAGTGTTCATTCAATCAAGTCAAGAGAATTTGACAACTCATTTGCTCAAAATACCCGCCATTTTTAGACTATACTATTACTGATAAGGGGAATCTATTTATATTTCTTTTGCATGTGTAATAATATATCATGGTTATGAAAAAGATCATAGCCTAATAACTAATATTTCAATATTATTAGTAGTTTTCAATAACATGTATACATCAAAAGACTTTATGAAACCCAAATGCCTGCTTTTGACTATAAAATCAAGGAGGGCTTAACCCCTTTGGTAAAGTGAAATCGTCTGTTTCATATATAAAAAGGAGAGGTAACGTCGTCCTTATTTTATTAATTTGCTTTAAGTATAAAACAGTATTTTATATAATATTACAATATTTGTACTAAGAAATTGTGTAATACTGATAAACTTTATAGAAATTTGTTTTGAAAGGTAGCAAAATGATATATAAATGGCTTCAGTTCAAAAGTATTCCCTACTTTCGAGTGGTTTCGCCCTAGCAACTTCCTTCGCAACAAACATTGTCCGCCATTTTGAAATAGACTTCATAAACACTACTTGCAACTGTCTTCGGACAGCTTTAAAAATGTGATCAAAACTTCCCCGTGAAACTTTTTAAAGGTCATCCGAGCAAACCGTTTCATAAAGTTTGATTCCGGCAAAGAGGACAAGAGGGGAAAAGAGTTTTCTTTCTCGTTTTTTTGACGAATGAGCACATCGACCAAGATGTCTCGAGCAGCGATGTCGAAGTCGAGGGCCGACAAAACTCGTGGCGCCTCTCAGCCGCAACCTGTAGTCACCAACGATGTGGTTCCCGGCAGGTTTACCGAGCCTGACTGGTAAGATGTAGATTAGGGACAATGACAGTGAAGTTTATTGCATATTTATGCCCCATTGCTTCTTAATACAGTAAGTTAGTTAGCTATGAGTATGTGAAACTATACTATGTTCACTATAACGATTTTAAAATGTTGCTTCTCTTGTTGAGACATTTGTAGACGACTTTACAGAGTTTTTCAATTACATCGTAAGTAACTGAAGATATTATATGTAAGGATGTGTCTTCCTTTGTTAGTTGTATACATTTATTTCTGTTCTAACTGTATGCTGTCTCCTTAACAAATTTAACTTTATCATTGGGTAAATCATTGCACAGTTGGCATTCTAGAACATAAACTGTACTTCGTTTTCTATGCAGTTTTTATCACATAATGTACATAACAACTTTATTATATTTCCATTCAGTCACTTTTGTTTTCGTTGTCATCAATTGCATCCACCCTGACCAAAATAGTAAAATTATATAATGTACAAACAATTATAACTTATTATATTGTAGAAATTTGTTTAAGGGTGTGCTCAACATTTTACTTTAACTAGTCCATTGAAAATTAACGTAAATTCCACATGTAATTTGTGACATATTCTATCAACAGTAATTCATTGTTCACCATATCCATAAGTATTAATTTTTTTAATTATTAGTGCAAAGTGCAATAATAGAACATTGCTAAAATGTCTGCATCCTTTTGCATGCATGAACGTAATACAGGTATAGAAGATCAAGGTATGCTGATTACTTACTTCCTGTAGTTCATTTTTAATGACAAATATGCACATTTGATAATCAAAGTTAACTGAAAAATAATAGTATTTTTTGCAATGTACACCAAATAATTGCTCATGTTTTGTACAATTTTTGGGGTTAAAAATAATTTTTGGTGCAAAACGACAATTGATGCACATGCACATCTCTCCATATATTATAACTTATAAGTAGTCAAATCACATTACAGTTTTAGAAGATGAAATACAAAATTTTTCCCCAGTATCATAACTTTATTCTAACTTATGGTGCTACTTTCAGGACTGGGTTACTTGACAGAGAAGATGGTGAGGAGTTTATTATGGACTGTGTGGAGGAGGTGGTTAACAGTGCCATGGACGAGATCTACAGAAGATATATCCAGAAACAGCTTCTCCCCTACACAGTCATACAGGCCAAGGATGCCATTCTGCAAATCATTGAGGTGAGTTTTGAAATTTCAGTGAGCAATTCTTTTAATGGAGAAGAGTTGAAAGTATTTCATAATGTATTTTACCAACTCAGGTGAACTTTCATACCATTACTAGACTCCAATATACTTTACTCTTATTGTTAGATAAATATGTATCTTGCTACCACAGCTGTTGTAGGACACCAAACCCATAGCCAGGATTTTGCTTGGTTCTGCTTTCTATCTAAGGGACTAGCAAGTCAAAATTCTAGGTGTCTGGGTTATGTCCCACCAGAAACTTGTGAAAATTGATCCCCCTGCAATGTCATTTCTTGCACTTTTGAGGGGATTTCAAGGGAAAAAAAACCTTTTCTAGGATTCCAGCCCTCTTGTGATACAAATCAGTACACCTCTTTAAAAAAAATCTTGGGCATTAAAAATGGATCTTCTGAACCCCCCTTGCTACCAGCATGGACATAGATCATATGTACATATAGGACATGGGCTTGGATAAGGTCAGTGTATTTACTTGATTCCATGTCTATATCTAAAGAACATACAGACATGTTGGTTAGGTGTACTAATCTGCACATGTTGTCTCCACAGTGGCAGTTCCTGGCCAGAGATGAGGGGGAAGGAGATGTGCTGCAGGATCCTTCATGGGCAGAAGATGATGGTGCGTTTATCTGTAATTTCTATCATCTGACTTATTAATAATAATTATTGTTCTAGAACAAGTGCCATTTATTTCAGGCTTGTTAAACTAGTATGTATGAATGTGTTAAGAAGAAACAAAGCAGATATTTTTCCATTTTCATTGATATTCATCTCTCTCTATATATATAGAGAGAGTGAGAGATAGATAGATAGACAGACAGACAGACAGCCTAGTAAGAACACTGATATAAAGATAAATATTCCGTATTGCTTGCAAATGTTACGTTACTAGTTATATTGACGTGTTTTCCCACATTGTAGAACCCCTTCCACCAGTGACTGACTCCTGGGCGCAGGGTTCTGTTCCCACCAGGACCAAACCTGAAGCAGCTACTTCAGACAAGTCTGACAGCAGGCCAGCATCTCAAGCGTAAGTCTTTAAGACAGGAATGAGAACATTCAGTTCTTGTACCCTTGTGCCCGACTGCTCGATTTCTTCAACTGTTTGGGCCAAAATATGAGCATTTTGGAGTTGATTTAGAGCCAGCTAAAACGTTTTTTATTTTGCAAATCAGAAAAAAAACCCGAGAACCTTCAAATCAAATTGGTATGGCATTAAGTACAAAAACAGAGAAAAATTAGATTGTTGTTGCTTTCAGAAATTGCCAAATTAGATCGTTGTTGCTTTCAGAAATTGCCAAATAGGATACCAGTAGTGCTGTCAGATGATTTTTGACACATGACATGATCCCAAATGTTGAGACAGAGCTGAAATATTGGACTGTGTCTCCTGTTTCTATGTTCCTGGTTTGAAATGGAGTTCCCATCCATTCCAATATCTTTAGCCATTTATTTAAGCAGCATCAAAGCTATACCTCCTACCAAAGCGTTATAGAGACCTTTTCCAAAGGCCGTGCATTAAATTGGCTTATGGACTTCTACTACAAATAAAGCATGGCAGATAGGTCAGGGCCGTATACATGTTTGTACAGTAGGACCATAACTGCCACATAGATCTGACAGTGCTGCCATATTTTCCCCTTTTGCTATCACCACAATCCAGGATTTATGTTACAGTATAGAAGGGCTGCATTCTTTATGTTAGGAGAGAAATGTCAGGGCAGGAGGGGGGAGAGAAAGTTGATATTTTTGCATCGTATTTGGACCTATGGCCATGTTGATTTGATTTTGTGGATGACATCCTCTGTAAACCCTAAAACTGATGCGAGCGTGCAAATAAAGAAAAAGTTAGGCAAGAAGTTGCCTTCATTATGGTCATGAATTTGAACAAATTACTATAAACACATGATTATTATTATGATATGGCAAGTAATAGACTAAGTCTTCATTTTCATTTCTTCACATTTTCTGCCTTTCCTTTGGAATTGATTTGGGAATTCTGCGACATTAGTATCATTTTCTAATATTCATTTTTGGTAATTCACAGCACGTTTGCTCATTTTGCATCTCAAGTGTACAATTTTCAGTATGGTTGGAGACTTTTTTTTTTGGAAGTGGACCAAAATTCATGCACGTGTGTATTTTGTCATCCATATAATCGATATCAAATTAACATGGCCTAACATGAAACTTTGTTATGTTCCAGTGGGTCCAGACCAGGGTCTGCAACTCAGGAGAAACAACCTGAAGTGGAGACAACAGAAGAAGTAAAGCCAGAACCCAAGGAAGAAGTGAAAGAGAAATCCACTAAGGAAGTTCAGAAAAAGGTTGAATTTTCCTTCCTTGACAATGAATGCAGTCTGTTCAAGGCATCCAATGCAATTCCAGGGTGGCAAAATATTCTGGATATGGAAATCTATCTGATATTGACATTTACTGCCATTTCTTAGTACATTTTCGTCATCATTCCATACTAAGTATTGGAAATAGCCCCAAAACAAGTTACGTGATGCGTCTCTTTTTGCGTACCACCCATAAATATCTAGAACCAGCCTACAAAATACAAACAAGCAACTGTCTTCTGTCAGCAACATCACATTTTTGCCTCACAGATATCATGCTATGGGATTATAGGGTTGATTCAACTTACTAACATTAAAAGAATGACCAGAAAATTGATTTTGAAAATCCAGTTTTGCTGTGCTGAATAGAAGATGCATTGGATGCCTTTAAAGCTAGATTGTCTCAGTGCTTGACAATTTTTGCCATCATGAATGCACTCAGTGCTTGAATCATGAAATAAACTCTCCGTCCATACAGAAGCCAGTTCCTCCACAAAAGCCGAAGAAGAAGTTTAAACCCCACAGAGGGCCCCTGGGTACTCCTGGCCTCAAGGAGATGACCAAGTCTCTCGATGAGACTGAGTCGGAAATCTTAAGATCTGAAGAGTCCATGAGGTTTCCTCCAGAGCCAGTGGAGAGCCCACTTCTCAAGATGCCTTCTTCATGTCATAACATCTTAAAGGTAATTTCATTATGTTTACCTTCGCACAATGTTTTTGCTCTGCTTCTTCTTCTTCTTCTTCTCCAAATAGATAAGTAAGGTCAATGACCTGGACCAGACGTCTGTCAACATGGTACTAGTAACTGGTGCTGTAGCACACACCCTGTGGTGTTGGGCTACATGTACATTATGTAGCAGGACAGAGTTGGAGGGGCTGGTATCATGAATGTGTTTTAGTAACAATAAACAGATCAATAGTTAGGATAGACAAGGTGCAATTTACCTTTCTGCCTATATGCTGCCCGATAGCATAACTTTGTAGCATAACTCCTTCTGTAGTGTTTATCAGCACCTAAACCCAATACCCCCCTGAAAAAATTGAACACCACCGCCACACAAGTCTGTGAAGGAGGCTAATGTGACATGTCTCTCCCCTGTGTGTAGGTTCAGGCAGGCCGACCACCAGGGAACAGAGACATTGTGTATGACCATGAAGGCAGGGTCATCAACGTCATCAGGATAAATCCTGATAGACTCCCAACACACAGGTAAGGCTTGGGAAACAAAAGAGCAAATTAAATAAGTTATTTTATTCACAACCACTTTATTAATAAGACAACGTTTCCATGACTATCAAGGCTACTGGTAATATACCGGTTTACTGTGCACTGAAGCTAGATTTTACTGTAACAGTGCACAGTAAACCAGTCATTTTATCATTATGTAGCAGGACAGAGTTGGAATTATGAATGTGTTTGAGTAACAATTAACAGAGCAGTAGTTTGTTAGACCAGACCATGAGAAGGTAAACATCATGCATTTGCTTTGCAAATGTTACCTTTCTAGTATTCAATTTGATTTTAAAAAATACCTGTAGCTACTACAATGTATGTCACTAGCTTATATATATCTTCTTGTCTCTATTTTTTGCAGAGTAAAAACACAGTTCCAGATTGTTGACCCACAGCTAGAAAAGGCCCAGGCACATGTCATGGCTGTGAGAGCAGGAAAGATATCTTCTCTCAAGATGAAAAAGAAGGCGACAAAATTGAGTACTGGGTACATAATACCTGGGAGCTCTACTGAACCAGCTGTACAGGCCAGAGTACAAGGTTTGTTCCTGGCATTTCTGATATACATATACAGGGCTCGAAATACTAGGTGCATATGCACCTTAGTGCAGGTAAAATTGGAGCTGTGTGGGTATTTCTGATGGCTATGTGCGTCTACACTGTACTGGTAATAATTTTCAATGTTACTTGCACTAGTGTATTTTGAACCCTGATATGTATTTACGCATAGTTGTATTCTAACACAATATGTTCAGTGCTGAACACCATCCACACACATAAGCACAGACCTGTCCTTGGTGCTGAACACCATCCACACATTAGAAAAAGCCAGTCCTTGGTGCTTACCACATTCCACACATATTATAACAGACCTGTCCTTGGTGCTGAACACCATCCACACACATTAGAACAGACCTGTCCTTGGTGCTGAACACCATCCACACATTTTAACAGACCTGTCCTTGGTGCTGAACACTATCCACACTTTAACATACCTGTCCTTTGTGCTAAACACCATCCACACACATTAGAACAGACCTGTCCTTGGTGCTGAACACCATCCACACACATTATAACATACCTGTCCTTTGTGCTGACCACCTTCCACACACATTAGAACAGACCTGTGCTTGGTGCTGAACACCATCCACACATTAGAACAGACCTGTTCTTGGTGCTGAACACCATCCATACACATAACAGACCTGTCCTTGGTGCTGAATACCATCCACACACATTAGAACATACCTGTCCTTGGTGCTGAACACCATTCACACACATTTTAATAGACCTGTCCTTGGTGCTGAACACTATCCACACATATTAGAACAGACCTATCCTTGGTGCTGAACACCATCCACACACATTAGAACAGACCTATCCTTGGTGCTGAACACCATCCACATGAATTAGAACAGACCTATCCTTGGTGCTGAACACCACCCACACACAAACGCACCTGCCCTTGGTGCTGAACACCATCCTCACACATCAGAAAAAGCCTGTCCTTAGTGCTGAACACCATCCACACACATTAGAACAGACCTGTCCTTAGTGCTGAACACCATCCACACACATGTATTAGAACAGACCTATCCTTGGTGCTGAACACCACCCACACACATTAGAACAGACCTGTCCTTGGTGCTGAACACCATCCACATACATTAGAACAGACCTGTCCTTGGTGCTGAACACCACCCACACACATTAGAACAGACCTGTCCTTGGTGCTGAACACCATCCACCCACATTTTAACAGACATGTCCTTGGTGCTGAACACCATCCACCCACATTTTAACAGACCTGTCTTTGGTGCTGAACACCATCCACACACATTAGAACAGACCCATCCTTGGTCCTGAACACCATCCACACACATTAGAACATACCTATCCCTGGTGCTGAATACCACCAACACGCATTAGAACATACCTGTCCTTAGTGCTGAACACCATCCACAGTTTCTGCATAGACAGTTTAGTAAAAACTGAACATAGAAAGTATGGTAAAAACAGGTCTTATTCACCAGAAGTCAAGGTTCTTCTCTGTTGTTCAAGGATTTGAATTTTTTTTAAATTCTCCAGGGGTGACTGCCATTCACCCATCCGTCAGACACAGTGCCATAACATCAGCCTCCACTGCCACCACGAGGAAGCTACCAGGGGAGTTGGATGACATTGAGGAAGTCAAGGCTTCTCCGGTAACCCCCTTACCGCCCCCACTGGTAAGTACAGGTTTAAGCCCTAGGCTTGTGATGATTCCCCTGCACTTCCTCACTAATGCATTTCTTTATTTACTCCTGCATTTGAATGAATATTACCTTTCCGCTGAATCCTACGAGTGCTCTTTTGTTATCCCGTGATATTTTGTCGTGGGGCTGCCTGGCTGTTTTTCCGCTGACTGTGTTGTCAGATGTAAATCCTCCGCCTTAGGTGGCCCGAGGTGTAATCATAGGTCCTAAGGCAGGAGTAGGCGACGGGAGACTCTAGAAAACAAACTCGGGATTCACGGGGAAGTTTGCTGTAAGGCTAAAGCATTTTAAGTTGTAAATTACAGGTTTTTCAACAGTGTCTAGTCTGTGTAGAACACTGATTATGATTCATGCGCTGTACCTTTTACCAGGGCTCTAGTCAGCAGAATTTTTTTCTGTCAGCCCAGGTTGATGATCAGACTGCAGTGTACAAAATACTTTTTTGAACCAGGCAAAATTAGGTTGCCCCACCCATAAGTTACTACTTTCCTCAAAAGTAATGTTACATACAGAAGCCTTTGACAACATTTCTAACAGCCTTTAGTGACTTAACTTACACTAGTAATAGCCATTAATACCTAAAATTAAAAATTAAAAAGCATCTGCCGGCTACAGTGGTGCAAGCCAAGTGGGCATGATTTCGTGGGGGGCAGGGTGGTGGAGGGTTTAGCACAAGGTAGCACACTGGGCTACCTTGGTTCAAAAATAGGTTGCCCCAAGTAAAATTTGGTTGCTCGGGGCAACAGGGCAACCAGGTATTTTGCACGCTGGACTGGGGGGCAGAGCAATCTTACAATCTAGGGGGGTCTGGGGACAAACTATGAAATTTCAAGCCTTTAAAAATGCGATTTGCCACCTTTTGAGAGGCAGATCATGGCATTAAGAATGGTTGCTGATGTTTTTATATTTTTGCTCAAGATTTTTCTCAATTTTGTCCATCAAGGTTGACTGATTGGTTTTAAAAATTTTCTGTCACACGCCACAAAGTTCCTGCAATTGACATAAAAACGGGTGCTGGCCAGAGCCCTACCGTTTACTCTTAAACTATGGAGAGGTAAAACTCACCTATAGAAGCAAAACTTATCTATCTACAACAGTAGCCAAAGTGTGCATTAACCTGTGCTCTGTTCCCACCGCTGCATTTTTCCTACCCACATCTTGTTGCTTGGTTACAGTCTGCAATTACCATTATCAAACCCGCAGTATGCATAGATGGTGATAATTTTGTTGCAAATTCCTGCCCGCTGGCTAACTGCAAGTATATATAGCATGAGAAACAATGAAGAACAATATATAAAGATATAGCTGTGCTTGTTTAATTAAACAATTATGATCTTAATGAGTGCCTTAATGACTTGACAATAAGGTAGGTTTGATAAAAAATTGGGACAATTAATGGGAAGATCAGCCCCTTCCTGTGTTGAAGAAAATTGCACGATATATCAAACGGAAATTGTGGAACTAGACTGTCATTATGTTGTTAGATCCCAGTCAGCCAGTCTCGCTGAGCTTACTCCAGTAAGGCCTAGGGAAAAAATGCTGTGTTCCCGAAAAAATTAGAGTTGGTAAGTAGGGACTCTTTTTGTAAAAGGAAAAAAAAAACATTGTTTTTGGTCTGTTTCTTCTTATCCAAACAAGTAAAGTCAATGACCTGGACCAGACGTCTGTCACCATGGTAACTGGTGCTGTAGCAGTTTTCCTAGGCCCAATAGCCCAAAGGCTGATTTTTTGGCATGCAATTTGATTCTTTGCACCAACATTGCAGACACAAAATAGCCCAAATGGCCAAAAAAAAACAATTATTCAAGTATGGATATGATTTTAGAAACGGTCAGACATTTCAGGTAGCACCTTTTGTCAGTGACACAGAACTGAAATAACAAAAAAGTCACATATGCATACAACACTGACATGGCAGTTAACAATCACTTCATGAACACTGCTTAAACTTCTGCCAGAATTTACAATTATGACAGTTTGAAAAGGACACCCTGAATATTTATAATGTACTAAATGTCAGTGTATTTTGTAAGACACAAAAACCAAAGCTTGTTCCACCTAGGCTGACTAGGTGGCCACACCAATTTGATTTGTTGGTTCACTGATTTTTTTATAAATTGACGGGCAAAAGAAATAAAAACAGGTCCAAGTATCTGATTGCTCCAAAAGCTATGATATGAGCCATGAAGTCTGTTAACATGCCAGGATGGTTTATAATCCAAACGATGAAGTTTACAATTTTATCAAACCAATGCATCATCATGCACAAACTGTAAGAACTCTGAAGAGAAGAGCCTTTCTTTCAAATTAGCTGTTGGGGCCAAAATATTGTGCATTTTAAAGTTGAATTTTAGAAAATTAGAAAAAAATGAAGCTGGCAAATTCAAGAACCAATTGATTAAATCGTTGTGGCCTAAGGCCACACCAATTTAATTTCTTGGTTAACGGATTCGCCCGCTTCATTTTTTTCTGATTTGCAAATAAAAATAAAAATTCAGAATCAACTGCAAAATGCTCATATTTTGCCCTGAACAGTTGAAAACAGTCATTTTCATCCTAGTTGTTATAGTTATTCCCTCTTTCAATGCAATGGTATTATTAAAAGTTCAAAATTCATTGTTTAAATTTTGAACCAGCCTGGTGTGTTGACTTCATGGCTCCTATAATCGTACTATTTTGGGCCATAATATGATGCCTAGTACGCTTTTTATTTTTATTTTTTTTTTGCCTGCCCGCTCCATTATTATTCTAGAAAAATCCGTTAACCAAGAAATTAAATTGCTGTGGCCTAAAGGCTAAATGTTAACTTCTAATACAGGTTTACCCCAGCCGTATGAAAGGGCTGTAGCTTTAGGTAATCTCGGCTGGCTGCTTCTTTCCTCTGATAAGTGGATCATGTCCAGATTACATGTACATATATCAGATTAGCTATTATAATATTACAAATACTATCGAATGGCCAGAAGTGACACCAAATTTGTCACGCATGTACCATTGATGTGTTAAGTGTGACGTCTGTAGCTTACAAATTGTGTTCATGTAATTAGGTGAGAAGGACCTACCTTTAGAAATCGTGATGACAAGTTTTAGACAAATTTGGTCCGAGGTTGTTATGTTGGCTAAGAATAACGTGCAACTTGTGACAACTGTAGATCAGATTCCCAAGGGAATGAGGAAGTTACACTTATAAAATTTGCATCCAATACAGTCATGAAGTCTCCTTTTTCAAGGAGAATAAAACATGATTACCGTAGTCCATGCATACAAGATTATGCCATAAAATAGCCAGCAACCTACTGTAGTTCCTGAGTTTTTCACGGTGCTTTTATGTTCATGGTTTTCACGGTCACTTCTGTACCGCGAGCTTATCATTACCACTAACAAATCAATTGAACCAAGTTTCTTTTTCCTGCACCTGACGCCACCATGAACATATTTTAGTTTTATTTATTATAACAGTATATTCTCCATTTTTCTCAGACCGTGAAATTTTACTATCGTGAACATAAAAGGAATTACAGTATTGTATAGCTGCTGATATTCTGTGTTCTCTGTGGTACCCTTCTTAAAGTCAAAGCAGTACATTTCTTTAGCAAAGTGTCATCTTGACATTCACAAAGAAACATGCTATAACTTAAATGCTTACCATGCCTGAAGGAAGCATTTTGAGCTTGAGATGTAATTGTTGTCCTCGGAGATTTTAAGCCCTATAGTTGTTCACAGTTTTACTGACATTTCGTCTTCATACATTATGTAACATTTTCAGATGAGACATTGCTTAGCTTCTGAATATTGCTGCAAGTGTTCAGGTATTGAATGTTGAAGAATGGATGAATGACGTGATTTAGTTAGAGGCTTTGGGAGAGTACTGTTACAGTACATGTAGTGAATCCCTTTCAAAACATGCAGAATAGGGAGACAGAGTGACAGTGTACCAGTATCTGTAATAGTTTGCATACTTATATGTAACATTATTGCCAGATTTTTTTGTTTTACAGGATAGAACTGAACAAAGAGACTCTTTTTACTAAAAACATTTTTACTAAAAAAGAGTCTCTCTATTCAGTGACTTACCAACCAAACTATTCAGAACTACCGAACTTTTGACTTAAGAAAATAATACAGTTTTCAAATTATTATTTCTAATACAACTACAAAATGTAAACCACCTTTTAAAAATCTTATAGCCGATAGTGGATAGCTAATATAATCTTATAAGGTGCTATATATAAGTGCTTTTAAATGTATCATAATGTTTAGACTGTATTGTTCACACTTTATGTATCCCATTCAGGCCATTGCACAATGTACTGTGTCTATAGATTATGTAGGATTTTCATTCTCTTCTGTCTAAGAATACCCTATACATAGTCACTAAGTCTACCAGGGCTCGAAATACTGGGTGCATGTGCACCTTAGTGCACCCAAATTGAAGCTGTGCACCCATTTTTTTTCTGTGGGTGCACTGGTGCACCCAAATATTTCTGTGGGTATTTTTGTACATCTCAAATGTATGATAGTATACAGGATATTTTTGGCATCTAATTGTCAGAAAAATGATAAAACCTGAGGTGAATTTAGATTTTGAAGTTAGCTCCTATTTCAGATTCAAGCTTAGAGGAGGAGCAGTAAGATCTGTAATTAGGTTTTGTTCTATAATGGTGCACCCAAAAAAATTTTGGTGCACCTAAATTTTTAGGTTGGGTGCACCAGTGCACCTATTCCCAAAAATTAATTTCAAGCCCTGCCCTAAGTCTACTCATACGTAGCTGCTACTGACTGCTAAGCTAACGATCTGGGAAAAGAATCGCTTCATACTTGACTGATGTTTGCCCTGATAACAAAACTGAAGTAATCGTGGCATTTTCTGCAGTTGAATGGACTGATAGACTGTTTCCTACTCTTCAGTAGACTTAAGCATCCTGTAATTTACTTTGACATTATCACTGATAGCTACTCTGTGCAACCAGCAT